CCTTTCCTCCCCCTTCCCTGCCCCTTCCTTCCCCTTCCTCCCGCTTCCCTGCCCCTTCCTTCCCCTTCCCTGCCCTTTCATCCTCTCTCACGGTCCTGCAGTGCTGCCTGACAAGGAGTTCAACCAGTCATGCTCCCAACAATAACTTGAACGAGTCACAGACCTTCCATCAATATAGGATTGAGCTTTGTCCGTGTGTGAATAGGCACTTGTGGCACTTGTTTGGAGAATGGTCCACCGTAAAGTTGTATACAGTGTTCTGTGTTCACTGTTGTCCCAAATGTTCTACATTTATCTTCCAGCCAAGTACCAGGACATAAATGTGTTTGTTGCCTCAACCGCCCCGGGGGAGGGAAGTAGGGCAATGGTTGGCTTTGGTAAGAGAGGGAGGACGGGAGATTGAGACAACGAATGACAGTTATGTCAGTTTTGGCCAATGGCACAGTTCCAGGAAAGCTATGCTCAATGCGATCCTGACATCAGCAGCAACTTTGTCCTTGCTCGTCTACGGGTGGCTGAGCAGTGAGCACCCGTCCTTCACCACTCAACCGAATTTTCTATGGGTAAAAAAGCCAGTGCCTTTATGAAAGCCTGGAAGCTGACGATGCTCGTCTCTATTTGTGTAATTGACCAAAATTCGAAGCTTCGATCAGATTTTGAATTGCCTCAGCCGTTAAGTACGTGGACCGTAGAACTGGAACCACGTTTAGATACTAGGTTTTGAATTGAAACGTAGTGCGCCTTTGGGGATTGATTTGCAAATTGGGAAGGAAAGAACACCATGCCAAGAATGGGCTTCCACTACCGGTAGTCGCTTTTCATAGCAAATGTGCGAAGTTCCAACAAACAGGACACAAACAGATACTCGGACACAAGTGGACACAAATGGACACAACAAACGGATACAAGCGGACACGAACACATACAAATGTGCACAAACGCACACAAACGCACACAAACGCACGCAAACGCACACAACTGCACACAAACACACACAAACAAATGCACATGAACGGACAGGAACGCTCACGAACGCACACGAACGCACACAAACGGACACAGACAGACACAAATGGAAACGGATGCAAATGGGCACAAACGGATGCGGATGGACACAAGTGGACAAAGCCGGGCAGCTATTTTTGGCAGTGTGCCTACACATCGTGTTTCCTTCGTCAAAGCTGATGCGGATGGAACTCAAGCAGAAAAAGCCGGGCAGCTATTGTTGGCAGTGTGCCTACACATCGCGTTGCCTTCGTCAAATCTGGTAGCTGCATAGCATCGTGTTCGTGTTCGCCCGAATGCGAACGAGCGCCCAAAACCCTCTAAACGCGAACATAAAAAAAAAAGAAAAAAAATCTGAAAAATTCAAAAAAATATATGTCATGTAAAACAACAATACAAGCAACTTTTGCCTTGGAGTCATGTTCAAATTCTTAGCCAAACGTGAGTTAAAAATCAAAACCGAAAACCAATTTTTTTTTTTTTGTTGTTGTTTTTTACGGAAAAAAAAAAGTTTGCCCGGACACATTCGCGAGCCGTTCTCGAGCGAACGCGGAGAGGCGCGAACACGTTCGCCGTGCTACACAGGCTGGTAGATAGTAGCTGATGAAGTTGTGCCAACCTTGCCTTTTATGTTCAGACTCTCAGAGTTTGACAAATCGAATGCTTTTGCTTTCCGTCTGTGAGCAGGAGTTGGCAGTGATGGTTGCAAGAGGCCGTGACGGAACTCTGAGATCTTACCCAGTCGTGGAGACGACACACAAGTGAGAAACTCGGTTGTTTGATGTTGTTGCCTGTTTCTCCATTCCGTTTTTCTCCTCTTTGTTCCTTACGTATGTCTTTCTCTGCTTTGTCATTACAACGCTTCCGATTCGCTCTTCCTTTCCCTTACTCGTGTCTTTTCCACCATTGAAAGCACCTTTTTTAATGGTACTGAGATATGGTTTCTTAGAGAGGCATGCATGGGTAGAAAGGGCTGTTCCTCTGTGAAAGGTGCAATTGTTTAGACTCTGCCTGTCAAGTCTGAGCCTTGTTTGTGTCTGTATGATTACCTGCTGTGTGCATTTTTTTTTGAAATTTAGTATTTATAATAATAAAAACAAGGCCTCTCCTATTCTGGGGGGAGTCAGTCCGGTTGCTTATCACCGACAACTTTGGCGAGCATGTTCTTACAGCAGCCAATGAGAGAGAAAGAATGAGAGAAGAGAATCAGCCTTGCCCTTGTGGCACTAGCCGCCTAAGCAAGGAGGGCTGCTGCGGGGCACCCCTCCCCCCAAGCCATAGCCCCGCTTCGGGGATTGTCCTGCCTGTCGTTTTTTTTTTTTTTGCCAGATTCTTGTGTATTTTTACTATTTTAGTATTTTACTATTTTCAAATTATATCTAGGCTTCCGGAGCCGCCCGACCGGGCCGGCACGGCCGTGCACCCGTGCAGCCTGCACAGCCAGGCGGCTGGCTGCACGTGTCACCCATGCAAGCTTTTTTTTTAATGTTTTTTTTTTCTTTTTTCTGTTTTTTGGTCATGGGCCTTGGCTGCGCTTGCAGAGATCTGCCCGAATCTGCCTTGTTTGCACTCGTTTGCCAGACTAGTATTTCGAGTGTGGCAGGGGGGGGGTGTAGGGTTGGGTGGGGTCTCACTGACTCCTACTGTTCAGAGGTGGGAGGTGGCGGGAGTGACATCCGAGATGGCGGAAGGGAGGTTGGAGATGACGGAAGGGAGGTAGGAGGTCGCGAAAGTAAGGTGGGAGATGGCGGAAGGAAGGTGGGAGGTGGTGGGAGGAGAGGTGGGAGGTGGAGGGAGGGAGGTTAAAGATGGCGGGAGGGAGGTAAAAGATGGCGAGAGTGAGGTCGGAGGTGGTGAAAGGGAGGTGGGAAGTGGTGGGAGTGAGGTGAAAGAGATGGCGTGAGGGAGGTTGGAGATGGCGGAAGGGAGGTTGGAGACGGCAGAGGGGAGGTAGGACGTGGCGGGAGTGGGGTGGGAGATGGCGGAAGGGAGGTGGGAGATGGCGGGAGGGAGGTTGCCCCGGCGTCCCTGAAATTGCCCCCCCCAGGCCTGCGCGCTGAGGCTGCACGGGGCCTGACCGCTCGGCCGTGCGCCCGTGCGGGCATCTGTGCGTGTCGGGGGGGGCTGTGCGCACGGAAATGAAGCCTAGAATTATATCTTTTTTTTGTCTGCTGTCTTTCTCAGCAGGTTAGGAAGGTGTATGTTGTTGACTGTAGTCTAATCTGTGTGTTACTCTTCTTCCTTGTGTTGTGCTTCATAGCCTGTTAATGGCAGAAGGGGGGGCGGAAAGGGGGAAGGGGGAGGGGGAGGGGGAGGTGCAATGGGAACAAAGTAGTATCTTTACATCCTCTTTTGTTTCAGAGTGCGACTGCTGACACAGGACTGAAGGATACGGTACATGATCGATACATCTTGCTGATGCGTCATTGTGTAACGGCTGTCTATGCATCCGTCCTTTCATTTGGCTGCTACTCGCTTTTGCCGTGTCTTCTCATAACGTCCCTTTCTTCATATTCTCTCTCTCTCTCTCATTTTTTTTGTTTTTTTACCACTTCTGGATTTATGTGTGTCATCCTTGCTAATCTTCACACTCGATATCGTTCCGATGTTAATGGATGTCCCAAAGGACCCTTTCCATAGGGTCTTATACGTTGCGTTGCTCCTTATTGGATCTCATTGTTGTTTTGCTATGTCGTGAAGTTCTTGGAAGGATTTGCATTTGTGGCATTTTTGTGCAGAACTCCTTCCCCCCCCCCCACCCACCCCCCTAACAAAAAAGAATGACCAACCTTTTGCTGATGTGGATGGGTAGCAGGGACAATATCTGCCACACAGTCCTGGCTCCAGCACCAGTGCCGGCTCAAGTTGCAGAAGCCGCTATGTCGGTCGCGGAAAAAGCAATTGGTTCACTTGAGGGAGCGGGCGTCTTCGGTGTTGAGCTTTTCCTTCTCCCCGGTGGTGAGGTAAAAAAAAAAAAATGCAGCCCAGTTGATCAGCGGACCACCTTCTTGTGGTTAACTAATCCACTTTTGTTTTTGAAAAATCGTTAGAAAAACTTATTTTGACTTGTTGGCTACGCTACCAGCCGGGCCGCCCAGGTCACCTTATTTTCCCGGGCGGCATGGCCGTGCAAGGACCAGGGAAGGTCCCAGCAAAAAAAAAAAAAATCACATCCAAAAGTTCCGAAACAAAACTATGTTATGCAGTTCTTTATCAAATTTAAAATATAAAAATAAACTTAATATCGTTTGTTGTCCTCTTCTCCCTCTCTGGAGTCTCTGCCTACGGTTTACTGGGCAGCTCTGTTTGACTATATATATATGTATCTGTTTGTGACAATATATATATATATATATATATATATATATATATATATATATTCTGCCCGCCTCAGCGTTGCATTACAAGGAGTCATTGAGACACTCCGTGAGAAGGATAATCTGTCGTATCAGCAAAGTGGTGTGAGACGGTGCTGGATCGTGCAAAGCGCTGAGGAGGTGATGCTTGATCTCAAACGTAATTCATCTTCTCTTCGTGAGCATGCTCCTCGCACTGTTGATTTCACAACTATGTATACCAATCTTCCTCATGACCGTATCTGTCATAATGTATCAAAAGTGGTTGAGGAAGCCTATACATATGCCTTACAACAACACACACAGGGGCGCACACATCCTCCTACCCTCAACATGATTGTTAAAGGGCCCCGTCAAGGGGAGTGGACGGTTGATACCGGACCCAACACCTTGACCGTTTCCCAAATTCTTGAACATCTCCATTTCATTGTCACAAACACGTATCTTTATGCAGCGGACGACACCTTGCGACATCAGCTGATTGGCATCCCGATGGGGACTAATTCTGGTCCGGAGATAGCTAATTTGACGTTGTATTGGGATGAGGCTCGGTTTGTTGACGACCTCCAACAGCGTGATCTTCGCGCAGCTCAACGGTATGCCTTCACATAC